GAATAACGTGAATAGCAATTGAAGATCACTCTTGACATCAACCTTAAGCCTCCACAAGCACCCCCACACATGGGAACTCGCGTATACACATACGTGAGCACCACACATGTATAGACAGGAAAAGCAAACAACTAAATGGTGTTTTCATTTAGTTTTTCATTATATATGTTCAGGAAAACATCTGTCCCTTAAGAGGCATGTGGAGGAGCTATCCCATAGCAATAATCATTTTCAAGACTTAAAGGAAAAACGTATCACTGTCACTGTCACTTACCTTTAAAATATGCATTTCTCTTTTTGAGGCGCGTCTCCCTGTAGCCCCAGATGGCCTGGAACTGGCTATGTAGCCCAGACTGGCCTCAAACTCACAGAGATCCACCTGCCTCTACCTCCATGGTGCTAGGATTGAAGGCATGTGCCACCATACCAGGCTCAAAATATGCAATTTTTTGATGGAGACTCCCATTCTCTAAGACCTGAGCCAGTAGACCGCTCTATAACACAGGGCTGGGAAACAAGTTCTAAATCGGGTCCACTCTGGAAATCTCCTTAAGCAAGGCCAAGTTGAAGGTTTGCTGCATCTTTTGAATATAGGCCATCTATAGACAGAATGCTTGTCAGATGCTTCAAGAGTCTACGTTGTAAGTTTGGAATTTGGTTGGTCATGAGGTTGTACCTATTATCAACAGAACCATGTTAGTTGGAAAAACAATCTCTGATCAGAAAACCCAGAGGAAGACTTTGTATTTTGAATATAAGGGAAGCAGAATCCCCTTTAGGGTTCTTATTTCCATTACTAAATGAATTTAAGAATGGACTCAAATGGAAGCTTCAGGAGAATTTTGTTACAGTTTAAAAGGAAAAACCCTCAGGTCAGGCAAACTGTAAATACCAGTAGCTGGTTGGAGGAGGAACGTGGAGGAGAGAAGAAAAAAGCCACGTCCCATTCAAAGCTGGCTGGGAGGTTAGACACAGGACAGACTAGCAGCCATGTGGTGGGAAGGAAGACTTTACAGAGTAAAGTAACCCAAAATGTTTGGCCAACCTAAAGTGTTCGTGAAGCATACTCAGGAGAGAGAGAGAAGAAAAGGAGAGGTTATGCTTTTCTGGAAAGCAGCAGACTTAGGAGGCTACATGCCTGGAGTCACGGATAAGCTACTGCATGCACTGAGGGATAAGCTGAACCATCTCATTCACACACCGGTTATTCTGGTTCTTTAGCATGAACCCTCCTTCCTAGGGGTGGTTCCTTGGCTAGGTGATTGACCTGTCTCAACTGGAAATTTGAATCTCCACCCAGGTTAGAGATTTTGACTCTTTTGACTGGTTTTCTCTTAATGATCTAGGGGAGAAATGTGTCCCCTAGAGGGTTCTTTGTCTCTTCATAAAATAATTTAAGAATGGGGCTAGAGAGATGGCTCAGCGGTTAAGAGCACTGGCTGTTCTTGCATAAGACCTGGGTTTGAATTCCAGCACCCACACGGCAGTTAAACAACTGTCCGTAACTTCAGTTCCAGGGGATCCGACAGTCTCTTCTGTCCTCTGAGGGCACTGCACAACACAGATGCGCTTATCTAAGTGCAGGCAATACATGCATACACATAAAATAAAAATAATAAATAAAATATTAAAAAATTTAAGAATGGACTCAAATGGAAGTTTTAGGACAATTTTATGAGAGTTTAAAGAAAACTCCTCAGGGTAGGCAAGCTGGTAATCTGCCTTGAGGAGAATGGAGGAGAGAAGGAAAGAAGCCATGAAGCCAGTCTTGTTTAGAGCAGTCAAGGGGCAGTCAGACATGTGGCAGACTGTTAGCTACATGGGAGGAAGGAAGCTTTAGAGAAAAAGTAAGGAAATACAAGATTGGGGCAGCCTAAAGTCTGAGGGACTGCATTCTTAGAAAAGGAATATGGCCAGGCGTAATGGTACATGTTGTGCCCAGAGAACAGATCCCCAAGAATTACCAGGGAGTCCAGAGAGCATGCAAGAACAAAGTCTTTATTTGGGCTCAAGCTCCGAATCTCAGACACCCGATTTCAGGGGGAGGGAGCTTTTCATAGGTTTCAGACAAAGGGAGGAGGGGAATGACAGAGTTATATTTTGATTGGTCCAAAGAGCCTGCATGTGCCAACATACTTTTGAATTTGATTGGCTACAGTCTTGGAGGCTGCTCATTGGTGGGTGCTGCCCTCAGGACTGTGGAATGTGCTGACTGTTATCTTCAGGGCTAGAGGACCCTGTTTATTCCTTATAAAGCCCCAAACCTGCCTGGGTCCCCTGGACATGCCCAGGCTTGCCTGGTCTATGACCATGAGACATCATGAAAATGGAGGAATCAGCAGTCAAAATGGAGACGGTGCAGTTTGTCCCTCTGGTTCCCTCAAGCCAAGCAATTTACAGAAGTGTACTGAATAAACTGCGAGCTATGTGACAGCTATGGTTGACAAGATAAGCTGAACTAGGAAGCATGAGCCTTAACTGAGTGAAACAGAATGTATGTGTGAGTGTGATAAGTAACCCAAGAGCAGTCACCATATCTAAGACACCAAATGAACTCACTGACGTCAAGACAATGACAGACTGACAGTAAAAAGCATATAAAAAGCCAGAGACTCCGGGCAGTTCACCGATGCTTGGCAACTCCTGAGACCAAGACAGACCGTCATTCTGTCTGGCCGCATCCCGACGTTCTTGCCCGAGACATCGAGATACCAAGACTCTGCTTGAGACCTGCCATGACTGCATGTGATCATCAGGACCTGCAGCCGAGCAACTTCTGTCGGGAGAGAGCAACGATCATGGTGGACACTGAGAACCTCCACATGGAGCACCTAAGGACTGGGACATTGGGCTCTGGCCCTGAGGTACTCCCTAAGATCTAGGAGCTCTGAACATTGGTTCAGTTCTTCCTGCTTCTCCCCTTGAGTGTTTATGTTGTTTGTGAATGTATTTTGGGCTTGTTGTGTGAAATATATTGTACTTGCAACCTCTCACTCATGCGGAATCTCTTCTGTCGTATGTGCTCGTCCTGGCTCTCCCAAGCAGCAATATCTGGACAGTTCTGCTCCTCAGGACTGATCCAAATCCACCTCAGGATGGAATGTATTAGAATAGGGAATTAAGAATTTAAGAATTGTATTGAATGTAATAAAATTAAGAAACTAAGAATCAAAAAAGAACTCTAGCAAAAGTATGTAAACAAATCCAAAGTGTGTACATTAAGGATAAGAGCATCACTTAGTAGCCCTAGAATGTAACCTAGCAACCTGAGTGTAACTGTGTGATTAGCCAAATGACGTAAGCAACTGATAAACATATGTTTGCCAAGTCATGCATAAGGACTATGAAAACCCAGAGGAAGATCAGTTCAGGGGCACACATATGAGCTGAACTCCCATCAGCCGTGCGGCCCCATCTTCTGACTGATCTCGTCTCTGGACTGTGAGAAAAAAGAGGAACTTGACTTCGCGAACATCCGAACCTGCCTTGACCCTCGACTGCAAGACAACCAAGCTGAGCTGAGACTACCGTCACCACATCTGCCTGAGATGATGTCACTCGGGCATTGGCCCTAGGACTGGTACTCTTATCTGTCGTTGTGTTATGTGTGAAATTTGTTTATAATTCCCCAAATAAATGCATTGAAAGACATTGGCTCTAGAAATATTTATCCTCCCTCGCATAACGAGGTGATGCTCAACTAAGCCTTAACAACTCCACTTGCGACAAGAAGTGAAAAGAGCAGTTAGTCCTAAATAGGGGCAGGGGTCTAGGGAGTCCAGGGGAGGGGGCCAAGGAGGAGGGTTCCACAGTACACACCTTTAATTCCAGCACTTGGGAGGCAGAGGTAGGTGGATCTCTGAGTTCTGTCTATTTCTTCAGCATACTTTAAGGTGACTCCACCTTCCTAGGGTGGTCCTATGACTAGGTGATTGACCAGTGAAACTGGAAAGGTGGCTCTTCAGACAGACAGACTAATGACCAGTTAATCTTATGGGGCCTTTTGACACTCTAACATTAAGGGACTTTTGCTACTGTTACATTTTTCTCTTGATTTTTGGGGACAAGGTCTCACTTTGTAGCTCATGCAGGCCTCAAGCGCATGGTAATCTTCCTGCCTTAGCTTCCCAAGTGCTGGGGTTACAGGCATGAGCCCCATACCTGTCTAGAATTTGTATTCTAAGTTCTCTACAGTACATAGAGTTAACATCGCATTTATATGTATAGCAGAGTTTGTGAACGGTAAATCCCTGGAGAGTTTCAAAGTGGGATATTCATCCCCTATAAGACCCTGACAAGCCCCAAAGGGCTTAGGATAAAGATATGAAATAATTAAAAAAAGATTGTGGTATTTCAGCTGGGTGTGGTGGCACAAGCCTGTAGTCCCAGTACTTGGGAGGCAGAAGCAGGCGGATCTCTGAGTTCAAGGCCAGCCTGGTCTACATAGTGAGTTCCAGGACAGCTGGGGCTACAGGAAGACCCTGTCTCAAAAAAGAAAAAAAAAAAATCGTGATATTTTCCTTTCTTTTTTGGAACTAGCCTTAGCGAGTTTCTCCAGCGTGAACTTTGTATATGACACCATTACAACGTCGTGTCCTAACATCAAAAGGTTGCCTACGAGTAGAGAGGCTAGAGCCCACCCTTTTTTTTTTTTTTTTGGCTCTAATAGGTTAGTTGTAAATGGACTACATTTCCCATGATGCTCCTTTGCCAGCGTCAGCTCAGCCTGGTCAGAAGAACGCGGAAGTGATTTCCGGTCGCCCAGCAACGGGCAGAGTCCTGGGCAGTGACTGAATGCGCACGCCCCTGCCCTGACTGCTAGAGGGCGAAGAAGCTCCGTTCCAGTTTGAGCTGGTCCGCGTCTTCCGGGAGTTTTCTTCCCGCCGCGCGGCAGTGGCATCTCTTTCCTTTCGTTCTGCTCAGGCTCCGCCCCTTTCCTCCCGGAAGTCACGAAATCCCGGAGACTGGATCGCAGCGGCGGAGCGTGCCGTACGTCTCCGGGCGGCGCAGTGCGCAGGCGCGAGCGGTCTGGCCTTCTAGACGCGCGCGACGCGGTTGAAGCGGGAGTTCCTAGCTGAGGAGACCCGGCGGCCTCGGGCGAGCGGACGAGCGAGTTTCGGTTGTTTGTGCCATGGCCGCACTACGCTACGCGGGCCTGGACGACACTGACAGCGAGGACGAGCTGCCCCCGGGCTGGGAGGAGAGGACCACCAAGGACGGCTGGCTGTACTACGCCAAGTAAGCGCTGCACGGACCGCGGGCACCTGCGTCCCGGGAGGGCGGGCCCACGTGACCGCGACCTGCCGCAGGGTCCCGGCCGCACTGTGGGCGCTGGGGGTGCACGGAGTGGGGGTGGGGGTGGGGGGGGTCCCTTGGCCCTGTGCAGCGCGCCCCCTGCTGTCCTCCTCGCAGCACTGCATTGCGCCGTGCAGTCCTGGCCCAGCTGCCTCCTGGGGGGGGAGGGGGTCTGGGTGGGAGGGTTTGTAAATGTATGTCGTGGGTGGCTCAGGGTGCAGAGGGACGTTTTGCAGATCCCAGCAGAGCCTTGTGCACTGTCAGTGGTCACCTTGGGTCATGAAAGAACTGTGTTCTGATCTGTAGATTGAGTTGACACGAGGGTGAGTCCAGCGCTGTGCATAAATGACAGTCGTTCATCGCAGGGTATGGCGGATTAGAGCGACCCTCTCCAGCTGGTGTTTCATCAGGACTAGCTGTGCCTCTGAGGCCCGATGTTGGAATCACTTCCTTCCCCCACGTTATTTTTTCCATTGAGATAGGGTCTCACTCTGCAGTCCTGGTTGACCTGAACTTTCTATGTAGACCAGTCACAGAGATGTGCCTCTCTCTGCCTCCCGAGTGCTCAGATTACTATAGGAACGTATTATATATAAACTTATTAAATATATAATTATATATTACACACGCACACCCACACCCCCCCACACCCACACACATCCGTGTCATGCAGTACCCTCAGAGGCCAGAAGGTGGTGCTGGATCCCCTGGAACTGGAGCTAAGACAGTTGTTGGCTGCCATGTGGGTGCTGGGAACTGAACCCAGCAGCAAGTGCTTTTAACTGCTGGGCCACTTCTCCAGCCCCTTCAAGGGTGTTGTCTTAGAAATGTTGGGGGCTGGAGAGGTGGCTCATTGGTGAAGAACACTTGCTGTTCTTCCAGAGAAACCTGTTAGATTCCCAGCACCCACATAGTGGCTAATGACTGTCTCTAACTCCAGTTCCAAGGGATCCAACACCCTCTTTTGGCCTTGGTGGGCTTTGCACAACACAGGTACACTTACACACAGGCAAAACACTCATACATGTAAAATGAAAAAAAAAAATAAAAAAATTTTTAAATAGAAATGTTGGGTTTCATGGGGGCTGGAGAGATGGTTCAGCAGTTAAGAGCACTGACTGCTCTTGCAGAGGACCCGGGTTTGATTCCCAGCACCCCCATGGCGGCTACAAACCGTCCTTAACTTCAGTTCCGGCGAATCCGAAGTCCTCTTCTGACCTCCGCGGCACTCACAGACGTGCAGGCAATACACTCATACACATAAAATAAAAATAATAAAATATTTTCAAAAACGTTGGGTTTCAGCTGCAGCAGACTGTACTTGGGGATATCTGCTTTTTAAAAAATATTTTATTTTTATTTTATGTGTATGTAGTGTTATGCCTGCATGTAGGTAAGTGCACCCGTGTCGTGCAATGCCTGCAGAGGACAGAAGAGGCTGTTGGATCCCCTGGAACTGGAGTTATGGACAGTTGTTAACTGCCATGTGGATGTGGGTTCTGGGATTCAAACCTGGGTCTTCTGCAAGAACAACCAGTGTTCTTAACCACTGAGCCATCTCCAGCCCGGGATGTCTGCTTTTTTAAAAACAATAATATATATGGCACACGCCTTTAATCACAGCACTCAGGAGGCAGAGGCAGATGGATCTCTGTGAGTTCAAGGCCAGCCTGATCTACATAGGGAGCTCCAGGCCAACTGGGGCTACAGGGAGACCCTGTCTCAAAAACCAAACAGACAAACAAATGAACAAACAAACAAAAATTATATATATATATATATATTTAGTTTGCAAAATGGCGGGTTTCATGATACCAGTTTCCATGTATATAGATTGTATGCTTTAATCCTATCCAGAACCCTATCACCCTTTTTTGGTCCTCCCTTCCTTTCACTGGTCTACTTTCTTCTCTCAGATAGTTTGCCTTTTGCTTTCTTGCTTATGTATTTTTAAAAAATTTTTTACCTGTTTTTTTTTTTAAACAGGGTCTCATGTAGCCTAGGCTGGCCTTAACTCAGTATGTGGCCAAGGCTGGCCTTGAACTCCTGAGTCTCCTGCCTCCATTTCCTGAGTGCTGAGGGCACAGGTATAAACGAACACACTTGGCTTTACGTTTTTAAAATCTAGAGGAATCAGTATTTTTACAGCTTTTTACGTGAGTATATTATTCCTTGATTTTCAGAAAAAAATGCTTTGCCAGCATCTGGAATTTGTTTTTTTCTTTTTTGGTGTGTGTGTATATGTCTCTTTTTAAAAATATTTTATTATTTTTATTTTATGTGTATGAGTGTATTGCCTGCATGTATGTGAGTGCACCCATGTCGTGTGGTGCCACGGAGGTCAGAAGAGGGCTTCGGATTCCCCTGGAAATGGAGTTAAGGACGGTTTGTAGGCACCAGGTGGGTGTTGGGAATTGAACCCAGGTCCTTTGGACTGCTGAGCAATCTCTCCAGCCCCATATCTCTCTTTTTTTAAAGACAGGGTTTCACGTAGCACAGGGTTGCCTGGGACTCAACATTTAGCTGAGGATGACTTCCAAGTTTCTGATCCTCTTGCCTCTGCTTTCCAAATATGGAATTACAGGTGTGTATCACTACACCTGGTTCTAGGAAGAGTTGACAAAATAGCTTTTCCTGGGTTATTACAAAATTAGAGGTTAGGTTAGGCCCTGGAGTGTCTCCATTGGTAAGTTGTAAACTCTTCCCAGGAGATTCTCACCTACTCTGGGGTGTGAATCACTGCTGTCCTGGGTGACCAGGTGGAAAGACCCTGTAGAAAACAGAAAGGCCCTGGTGAGTTCATTCAGGTGTATAGAGCAAGTCTTAAGTGTCAGCACCTTGTTTGGAAGACACTTGGAATAAACTCCCTGGAGTCTGGGACAAGAGAAGGCCTTCTCACTCCCAGAGACTACTCTCAACAAGTTTAAACAGCACATGACAATTTACCAATATAACATGTATGATATCCTACTATTTTCATTATAATAGTTGCTGTGTGAGACCGTTTGGACACAGTGTCCTCACAACAGCCCCTGAGATCATCACTAGGATTGTTTCCATTCTGCACATGGGGTGGGTCGTTGCCTAGTGGTGTACTGAGTCTGTCTTGTCAGATCTGGTGGTCCTAGATTGGTGGCTATCTTGTTATAACCAGCTGACCTATGCGACTATCTTCCTAAGGTCCTCTTGGGAGCAGTTAGGACCTAAAGTTACATGGTGGGAAGAATACACATTTAAAAAAAATATTTATTATTAGCGTGTGTGCGCATGCCAGTGTTTGTGGCGGTCAGAGGACAATTTTCATGAGTTGATTCTCTCCTTCCACTGTGGGATTCAGGGATCAAACTTGGGTCTTGGGTCTTGCACACAAGCACTTTTACCTGCTGAGCCACCTTGCTGGCCAAGAATACACATTTAAAAAAAAATTATTATTTTTATTTTATGTATAGTGAGTGTATTGCCTGTATCTATATAAGTGTACTTGTGCAATGCCCATGGAGGTCAGAAGAGGGTGTCAAATCCCCTGGAACTGGAGTTAGGGACGGTTATTAGCTACCTTGTGTGCTGGGAATCAAACCCAGGTCCTCTGTAAGAGCAGTCAGTGCTCTTAACGACTGAGCCATCTATCCAGCCCAAGAACATACATTTTTAAAGTTTGATGTGGGGACTGGAGAGATCGCTCAGCTGATAAGAGTACTGGCTTCTCTTGCAGAGGACAAGTGTTAGTTCCCAGCACCCACATGGCAGCTAACAACTGTCTGCAATTCCAGTTCCAGGGGATCCAACACCTTCTGGCCTCTGCAGGCATGTGGTACATTTACATAAGTGCAGACAAAACATATACATAATATAAAAATTTAAAAACAAACCAAAAAGACAAACATTTAAAAAAAAGATTGATGCTATGTTTAAGTTATATTTATTATTTAAATATTAGTGTTATAAATAGACACTGGGTTTTGTCAATAAATCCTGGGATAAAGTGAAAAGGAAATCGAGAGAGGCTGTGAGATGCTCCTTGTGATTCGTGGAGCTTTCTGAAGTTGATCCCCAGCCAGGTCGGGTCCCCTCTTCCTCCTTCCCAGTGCTCTCCACTTGGCCTCTAGGAGAATCCTTCATGATTGCATCGCCTTCCAGCCTGGGACCTCTGACCTGATGCAATCAGGGCAATTTGTGGTCTGCATGTTTCTTTCTGGGTCTGTTTTACTACTCTTGATGGAGTATTATCTGGGTAAGAAGCAATTTAATACAGTTGATTACTTTTTGAAATGTTAACTTTGTTATGGCTTTTTTTTTTTTTTTTTTTTGACAGTCACACTGAGGAAAAGACTCAATGGGAACATCCAAAAACTGGAAAAAGAAAACGAGTAGCAGGAGGTGTGTATGCTTTGCCAGAAGAAGCCCCCATGTGTGACACATTAATTAGGCAGGGAAGGTAGCAGTGAGCTAGCCCTGTCACTCGGGAGTGGCTTTCTGGTGGGTGACCATCAGGGAGTGAGACTCTAAGAGCTCTGTGGGATTTGGTATAAAGAGGAGATAAGATTTTGAGACGGACAGGAGGATGTCTTACCTGTCTTAGACAAGAAACTGTGACTATATGGGGGCCTGTGACTCAGTTTACTGTGTTCCTCTGCAGTTGCAGTATGTGGATGATTGCTTTTGGTGTGTGCTATGCAATTAAATGTGTCAGTATTTTGTGGAATTCCATAGTGTGCCAGGACTTTTTGGTGCTTCTGAGCAAGTATACAGTCCTTAGAATAGAAGTATAGGATGAGGCCCGACACTTTTAATCCTAGCACTTGGGAGGCAGAGGCAGGCAAATCTCTGAGTTCAAGGCCAGCCTGGTCTACGGAGTGAGTTTCAGGACAGCTGGGGCTACAGGGAAATGCTGTCTCAAAAAGACAAAAAAAAAATAAAAGGAAGCATAGGATGAAAAAAAAACACTGGCGGTCCTGACTTCAGTAGGGTTAGGGTCTAGTTGAGAAACCTGTGCTTGAAAATGAGGGGATGGCTCTGGCTCTGTAACATGGCCCAGGCAGCACAGTGGGCCCTCACTGGCATTGGGTGCCGCTGTACCTGCAAACATCGGCTGCAAGAATTCACACTCGTCAGAGCACTGCTGAGCCTCAGAGTAAAAACAGGAGCTGAGTGGGGCACTTTGGAGTGGGCAGGAGTGTGACAGGACTTTGCATAAAGCAGGAGGCAGGATACGGAATTCACATGGGGTCCTGGGCTTTCTGTAGCTGCTGCTCTTGGATCCTGTGAGCAGAGCAAGCTGTTTCCCAGGGCTTAGGGGGCAAGGGCTTGGAGGGATGGCACCTCTCCTTCCTGATCTAGGGGTGGGTTTGGGATCATCACAGCACACATACCCCTGCCAATCTTTCCTGTGTTTCAGATTTGCCATACGGATGGGAACAAGAGACTGATGAGAATGGACAAGTGTTTTTTGTGGAGTAAGTATCTGTGTAGAAGCACGGGTGTGTGTGTGTGTGTGTGTGTGTGTGTGTGTATTTTATGTGTATGAGTGTTTTGCTTCCATGTATGTAAGTGCACCCATGTTGTACACTGTCCATAGAAGCCAGAGAAGGGCATTAGATCCCCTGGAACTGGAGTTACAGATGGTTGTTAGCTGCCATGTGGGTGCTGGGAACTGAACCTTGGTTTTCGGGAAGAGCAACCAGTGAGCTTCACTGCTGAGCCATCTCTCTAGTCCCTCGTTTGTGTTTTGAGGGGAGTTTTCATGTCCTGCACGAACTGTAGGAACATACGACGTCATATACGCCTGCTACTTTGTCAGCAGAAGTGACCACTTTTCCTAGCTTGGAGTTTTTTCTTCTGGTCACCTGTTTTCCTTTGGGACATTGAGGTTTTGGGGTCAGACCTGCTCCTCACATGTGAATCACAGTGTGGGCTTCTTTGCAAGTTCACTGCTGGTGTAGCGACTGCAATTTCTACCGTCATTTCCTTAAGGCTAAGCAAGACTTACCCTTTCATGGAATTTTCTGATGTGCCATTTTTCATTGACTCAACTCTGTTGAACCACACCTTTTTTTTTTTTTTCTTAAACTGATTGCCTCTGAGGTGTCCTAAAAATTAAAAAAAAAATGTATTTGTGTGTGCGTGTGCGTGTGCATGTGCGCGCACACACATGCACGTTTGTGTACAGGTGAGTGTGCCTGTGCGCACTTCAGAGACCAGAAGAAGGCATCGCTCTACAAATTCCTTTGACGCAGGGTCTCATTTTGAACCTGGGACCTGGGTGGAGATCAGCAAGCCCCAGCAGTGGCCCTGTCTCTGCCCCACCTGTGGAGCTAGGATTGCTATTGTGCCTGTGTGGGACTCCTGCCTCCTTATGTGGGTGCTGGGATCCAAACTCCCGTCCTCATGATTGGGCAGCAAGTGCTCTTAACTTCTGAGCCACCTAATCTGATTTTCCAAATTTTTATAAATACAGGGACAGTGTGTTTTAGCCTCACCTCACTGTTGCCATTCACATGGTAATAGTTTATAAAATAATGTAGTTATAGTAAAAGTTCACATAGCGTAAGTGATTTGTCAGCAAACACAGTGAACGCCTGGTGCATCTCCAGCTTTGGGACTGGGCTGGCCAGGGCTTGCTTTGGGGAGTCTCTGAACAGTCATGGGCAGCCCCACCAGGGCAGCCTGCCTGGCAGGTGCCTATTAGATTATAAAGGACTTTTCCTTGATTTATAAAAATCTTTCCCCTACCAAATTAAGGATATCAGCTCTTCAGTTACATGTTCCAAATGTCTTTTTCCAAGTTTTCTTTTAAGTTTGTTTTTATTTTAAAAAGTCAGCTGTAGCAGCTCTCAAGCTTTGTGTCATCCGTCTTCTCTGTAGGTGTCCCCTGCGCACTAGTTGCTGTCCTCTTGAGTGGTTCTATCCTCACTGACCCAGAGCAGTGGTTCCATGGTGTGGTTCTCCACCCAGCCGCATCAGCAGCACTGGAAACATAGTAGAAATACGTGTGCTCAGGCCCTCAGATTGAGTCTCAGCTTAGAGGGGCATGTGTGTTTGGGGGTGGCAGCCTGTGCTGGTTTGACTGGGCTTCTCTAGAGATGGTTCTACCATTTTTTTTTTGTTTTGTTTTGTTTTCTATAATGGGCCAGATAACATGTTTTAGGCTCTGTGGACCACATGGTTTCTGTTTGTTATGTCTGCCATTGTAGTGTCAAAGTAGCTATAGATCATACAGGCGTGATGGTCGTTGCTGTGTTCCAGGAGAATTTTATAGAAATAGGCCAGCTGCTGGTCTGATGTACAACGAGCAAGGACTTTGAAGGCAAGCTAGCACATGGCTCCCCTGGCTGGCCATCCACTTCCCAGTCTACTGCCAGGGTGTGCTGATACGTGCTTGACAGCCGGCAGTTTACGGAAAAGAGGTGCAGACTTGTTTCCTTGGTACGTGTACTTGCACCCTGCCAGTTTCAAGTTAGCAAGGTGGAGTCACTGAGGAGCTGAATGGAGAGGTGCACCTTGGGCTTCTGTGGTCCACCTGACGTCAGTGGCTAGCACTAGGGTCCTGAGGCTGATCTGCAGGTGGAGATGATAGTTAAAATAAAATTGCTCTTGGGTCTTAGAATTTGCAGGGTGATGAGTATAGATTTTTTTCTTTCTCTGTTTTGTTGTTTTGAGACAGGCTCTCTTATAGCTCAGGCTGGCCTCAGAGACTCATCATAGCAGATGATGATATTAAACTCTTGATTAGGACAGTCACATCCCAGGTGCTGGGATTGTAGGTATGTGTCATTACACACAGCTCAGTGTAGATTTAAAAAATTACTTTTTACTAATTTAAAAATATGTATGAATGTTTTGCCTGCATGTATGAGGTACACCACATGCATGCAATGTCTGCAGAGGCCAGAAAAGTTTGTTGGATCCTCTGGAACTGGAGTTAGGGATGGTTGTTAACTGCTGTGTGAGTGCTGGGAACTGAACCTGAGTCTTCTGGAAGAGCAGCCAGTAGTCTTAACTGCTGAGCCATCTTTCCATCCCTTGTCAGTGTAGATTTTTAAACTTTTTATATAGACACATACATGCATTTTATTTCATTGAATTTTATTTGCTTGTGGGGGTTGAGCCTAGGATCTAGAGCATGCTAGGCAAGTACCGTACCACTGAGATAAATGCCTAACCCTCTTGTTATTTTTCATTTTGAGACAGTATCTCACTTAGTTGCCCAGACTGTCCTTGAAATTGCAATCCTCCTGCTTCACCATCCTGAGTAGCTGGGAATATAGGCCTCTGCTATGAGCCTAGCCACAAATACATTTTATGCTATTTCATGTACTTCTGGAGGGTTCTTAGTAATTTTAGAGATATGTTTATGACATTTTGAGGTTTTTTATCTCAAATCTCAAGAATACATTTAATTTTTCTTACATTTTATTTTGTGTGTGTGTGTGTATGTATGCACACGTGCATGTGTATGCATGCGAGTATGTGTGCCAGTGTGCAATGGCATACATGTGAAAGTCAGATGATAACTTTTAAGAGTTGGTTCTCTTCTTCCATCATGTAGATTCCAGGGACTGAACTGAGGTCATCAGGCTTGGTGGTAGGCGCCTTTACTCTGCTGAGCCACCTCGCCAGCCCAAGAATACATTTTAAATGTAAAGGTTTTGTTATAAGGAGTAACTTAGAAATTCATATGTGCCAATATATTTTAATATTATTTCTGTAAGTTCTAGATCAACTCCAAATGAAAACTAAAGTGCTTATATGAGGGATGGTCATGGTCTTGAAATGAAAATCATTGGAGCTTTGCTCATTATATATGTTCATATACGTTGTTAAGGCTTCCATCATTTGAGTTTTCTACGGACCTAACTGTTCTTAGGTCCTTTCACAGGACAGTGAGGCTTCATTGACATTTAACAAGAGTAGCTGACAGGTCTTACAGGCACATTTACATCTACATGAATTGAGTAGAAATCCAGGGTCTTCTCTGGAAGTTGCCTATGAGACCCAAGGCACAGGCTGTTGTTACCGGAAGCTCTGAGGAGAGGCTCCCATGACTGTCTTCTCCTAGCAGCAGGTTGGACAATAGAGCAGACAGGTCCTGGTTCTTTTCACGTTTAACAGTAAGCCTCTTAGTGCATGAGCAATGGAGAGGGTCTGCCTGAAGTAGTAGGCCGCCTTGTGTTTGTAACTGCTGGTCCTTGCTGCTGAGCGTTCATTGCCCTCCCCTCTTCTTTACAGTCACATAAATAAAAGAACCACTTACCTGGACCCAAGATTGGCGTTTACTGTGGATGATAATCCGACGAAGCCAACCGCCAGACAGAGATACGACGGGAGCACCACGGCCATGGAAATCCTGCAGGGCCGGGACTTCTCTGGCAAGGTGGTCCTGGTTACTGGAGCAAGTTCAGGAATAGGTAGGCCCTTCATGTACCGTCATCTGATTTTACTCACTTATTTTTTTGTGGCTGTTCTAATGGAATCTACTTAAATCTTACGGTAGTGAAATTTTTATAGTGATTCTTTAATTTAAAAGCTTGTTTATAGCCTTTCCAGCCATCGTTCATGACAATCACAGCCTCTCTTTCACTCCAAGTGCTGTGTGGCAGGCTGTGTGGGGCTGACCTTGAAGTTGCTGAAAGCTGAACACTCAGCAAAAGGCCGAGGCTATTTTGGTATTCAGGGGTTGGAGACGACAGGCTCCGGCTAAGAGTTTTTGACCCGGTCTGTGTGGTGTATGGATGTATTCCAATTACCTGGGTTATTCAAACCCAAATTGATTGGTAATGGGATATGGGACAACATATCATGACTTTGGAACCAAGGGTACTGCAGGTTTTCCCTGGTCACCTGGCCTATCACTTTCTTTTGGGAACAGTATCTTATTTCTTCATAAAACCAGAGAATCAGTCCTTGTCCTCACCTCTACACTCACCCCCTAATTGCCTTGTTTAACCACAGTGACCATCGTGAGATCAGCGGCTCCCTTCACTTCCCAGGCTTCTGAGGGCCGCAGAGGGCCCTTGTGCCATCCTGTGCGATGGGATTTTATTTGTTTTGGTCCATTTACATCAGTATCTGAATGGCTTTGAGAAAGGATATGTATCTTCGGGTGAAAGACTAGATCACACCTGGCTGTCCTCGCTTGTCCTCTGGCAGGCTCTTTCTGTCCATCTGTCACAGGGACCCGTTCTTAACTTCTGAGTTTCATCTTCTCTTCTGAGCTTCATCCTCTCTTTTGACCGTTCACTGTCTTTGAAAGAATCCCCCAGAATCCCTTCTCCGTGTGTTAGATCAGGCACAAGGGGTGAGGGTGCCCTAGAGGACAGTTAGTGGGCAGCAGGGCAGGCACACTGAGTTCCTGGGCTGCATTCCTAGAGTAGGTCTTTTTGAGACAGGGTCTCCCTGTAGTCCCACCTGGCTTGGAACTCACTAGGTAGACCAGGCTGGCCTCGATCCATCTGCCTCTGCCTCCTGAATGATGGGATAAAAGGTGTGCACAACCACGCCTGGCCCAGAGTAGGTCTTTTGACTGACTGCACTCCTGCTAAGGCAAAGGAATAAATGGAATCTTTTAAAAAACAGAAAACAATTTACTTAAAATCAGGTCCAAGATTTCATCCTGGGCTCAGAATACATCAAGTCCAGAGTTTTTCAACCTCTGCCTTGCGGTAAACTCTGGAGAATCATCCTGTTGTCAGAAGTGGACTTAGAGAGTTAGTAATAACAGCCGGCCCCTCAGGGTCCAAGACACAGTGTGCTGTGTAGAGCATGCTGACTGCTGTTATGGAGGAGGGTGTGGACCGAGGGTCCTGTAGAATAACTTAAAAAAAATGGTGTGAGGACTTAAGAAAAAGATCTTTGATTATTTTAACACTTGGCTAACCAAGAGCTTAATGAAAAGATCTCATTCTCCTGATTTTCAGCTAGACAGTTTTTCTTTAACGTGTGAGCTGCGTGGTTATTTCCTGTTGGAGCTGCTGTGTCTGATGTTGGGCAGCAGAGCTTCAGGTTGACTTGGGACAGGAAGGGCCCTGTGTGACTAACTACTGATACAGAGAGAAAAGGAGACTTCTGAAGTTAGGAAGAAACAAAGAAACAGCCACTGGCTTTCAGCCCCCGAGCAAAGGTGGAAACTGCCTCTGCACGGTTCCTCTTCCTGTTAACTCTTCCTCTTTCCTGTCCAGTCACTCTGTGGACACTGCAGGAGATGGGTATGGTCCTGCTGCCGTGGCTGGTCACAGGGTGAGGGATGGATTGAGGAAGGTCTTTGCAAGGCCAGCAGTGTCCACAGCTCCCGTTCCCCTCAGGAATTGCCCTTGACTGTGCCCGTCACTCCTCTTCACCCTTCACACCACGAAGCACAAATCTGTCCTAGAGCCACAGATTCTTCTTCCTGATATTTGAAATAGTATATTGCAAATTCCAGGCAGTCACATCTTTACCAACCATGCCCCCTCTTCAGCAGGCATATCAGGCTTAAAGAAAGGAAGGCGGCAGCTGGGCAGGCACGGCCGCTGTCACAGCCTCCTCGGCTTTGTGTCCTTCCAGGCTGTTGCAGAACGTGCCCTCTCCCAGGTAGTCTGTGGCTTCCAGATAAAGCTTCCTTCTCCCTGCACGCAGCTTGCTAGTTTATAAATTGCTATCACCGCTTTCATCTGCCTGTTCCAGATGGAATGGCCGAGTGAGTGGATTGGGCGTCTGCTCCCAAGACCACAGTGCCACCGTCTGTGAAGGCTTTGACTGGCGTCAGCTGCCCTTTCTTTGGGCCACACATGGGAGGCTGTTGTCTGTGTGTCAGCAGTTGAGTCCTCTGCCTATTTGAGCTGGTTGTCTCTGAGTGGAGTGGGCTGTGACAAGACACAGCAGGGCTTATTCTGGGAACATGGACATCTAGTCCTCCTGTAAGTCTGGTGTGGCAGCCTTGCCCCCATTCACATTCCCTGTGAGGTGCTGCCTTGCTGGAGAGGTGGGATCACCAGGTGAGGCAATGCTCTGCAGGACCAGGGCACGTCTCCCCATGCCAGCCGGCTCTCCCCAGGCCGTGAGCACTCAGCAGCTTGTGCTCTGTCACCATCTCTGTCTCCCCGGCCATAAGTGACACAGAGCCAAGCTTTGAGTTTTTGATACTTGATGCCACTAAGGCAACTGGAGAAATTCTCAGTTCTGCTGCTCAGGATGAAAAAGTCAGGATGGTTCTGGAATGCTGGAGGACGGGGAAGCAGTGCCAGACGTGCAGTGGGATCATGGAGTCTATCTATTTATTTATAGTATTATTTTTGGATTTTTTGAGACAGGGTCTTCCTATAGCCCCAGCTGGCCTGGAACTCACTGGCCTTGATCTCGCAGAGATCTGCCATCCTCTACCTCCTGAGTGTTGGGATTAAAGGCATGTGCCACCATACCTAGCTATTTTATATTCTGAGACTAGGGCTTGCTATGTAACCCAGGCTGGCCTCAAACTCCTGGCCTTCCTTCCCCTGCCTCCCAAGTGCTCCTCCTCATTACCAGCTTTAACCAGCTTTCCCTTTGACTGGAGTCAGCCGTTAGATTGAGTGGATAAACTATAGCCCCTATGTAGAATCTGACCTTCTTGACTTTCTAAGTAAGGTTTTGTTGGAACACAGCCATGCACATTTAGTGTATCACCAGGACTTGAGTAATTCTAGCTGGGATCATGTGGCCCCCAAAGCCCGAAGTATTTCCTGTTGGGCTCTGTACCCAAAGCCTCAGCTTCTCCTGCACTGGGTGGTCTAGTCCTACGAAAAGCAAGGGCACCTCAGCATTCGGTATGTTGCCACAGTTTACATGAAGCTGGGATAATGGGATGCCCCGGGCTGCAGGAAGGATGTGGAACTTCTTCCACACAGGATGGCCAATGCGTCTTGTAAGCGCCAAGGTTTTCCTGCGAAGATGTACCTCCCACCCCTACCCCAGCCTCAGTTCTCCCTTGTTCTTAGTGAGCTGTGAGTTAGGATGTTGTCTCCTTGGGAACTAACGCTCTTCTCCTCTTGACCTTTGTTTAACCAGCTTTCTGAACCCGAAGAACTTTAGGTTGAAAGCTGTAGCTTGTGGACCTCTCTGTGGAGATCAGCATCTCAGTTTCCAGGGGGAGCCATCTCTTCATCCAGCAGATCAAGAGCCCGGAGCCCCACAGCCCACACCCCGACCGCTAACCAGTAGCCGAGGGAGAGCTCACTGCTGTGTACACAGCACAGCTGGGCAGGAGGGTCTCTGGAGTTAGCTGCTGGCTGGTTCTGAATCTCTAAGAAGGAAGGAAAGACTTCAACACGGTGATGACTGCATCCAAGTGCTGGGGAGTCTCAGGAAAGGGATCGTGTTAGGCTAGGAAGTCTCCCACCATGGTGGGCCCATGGATTTTTCTAGACCAAACTTGTCCACTGAGCAGATGTGGCTGTTTAAGTTATAGCTGAGTGTAAACTGCTCTCATTGAACCTACAGTCGTCTGTTGGTCAGACAGGTGCGTTCCTAGCAGGGACTAGTTAGGTGCCTAGGCAGGGAACAGCAACTGCCCTGCTCGTTAGAGGAGCATTTGATGTCCACACAGATTGATGCTACTAGGAGACAGATTGATTAGCATTGTTTACCAGCCTTTATCAAACACCTATTAAAACCTATTAACAGCTGGGTGTGGTGGCACATGCCTTTAATGCTAGCATTCTGGTAGCAGAGGCAGGCCTTTCTAGTTTACATAGTGAATTCCAGGCCAGCTGGGGCTACAGGAAGACCCTGTCTCAAAAAAACCCAAACAGATGGGGCTGGAGAAATGGCTCGACAGTTAAGAGCATTGTCTGCTCTTGCAGAGGACCTGGGTTCAAATCCTTACACCCACATGGCCGCTAACAACTGTCTGTAACTACAGTTCCAGGGGATCCAATGCCCTCTTCTCACCTCCATGGTGAGAACATGGGTGTACTTACATGCAGGCAATACACTCCTACACGTAAAAGTAAAAATAATAAAATATTAAAGAAATAAACAGAAACAAACAGCCCCCCAACCAAGAAACAAAACCCATTAATAAGTATGAGCAGATTAGATATTTCTAGTCTAGTGTTTGGTGGTAATAAGCTTTCTTCCTCCAATCTTAGCCTAGTAGTGTTTTAAATTTGACTTTTAAATTCCTTTCAGAGCTTAGTCAGAATGAAAAGTTTCTTTCACCTTCTGAACCTTTATAATGTCTAGCTGCATTGGGCGTTGTGGTTTCAATCTGAAATAGCCTGGCCTGGTTTCGATTTTTGAGCCAGAGGACCCATTAACAAAAACAAAACTGGCTTTTCCCCAGTCACCAGAACAAATAATGAGCTGGCTGTGTTAGTAAACACAAGCAGAATATTTTAGTATGCTTTAATGCTCCAGGTATTTATGTTTTATAACCATCACCCTAGGGTTTACT